CATAGAACACTTAATTCGGATATAAACCCTCTCCTCAAACGTCTCCTTACCAACCTCAACAGAACACATGACCATAACGCAAGGCACAGATCACTCTTTGATGTTCCTCGTGTCCATCTCACACTACGCAAAAACTCAATGCACATAAAAGGCCCAATAATCTGGAATTCATTACCTGTGAATATAAAAGAAACACTGTTTATAAATTCAAGTCTCTTCTTAAAAATCACTTACTCACCCTCAACTAAATAAATACTGATTAATTGTATCTCATAAATGTTTAACCTGTGACCCAATCAAACTTCGTTATTTTTAATTACATTACCTAACAGATTACTCCATTCTACTGAATGCACAGCAGCACAGTAAATGACTATATGACCTGTCTTTGAAATACTCATTTTTGCTTAATTGTTATTTATTTACAATAATGTTTACCACTGACTATATTATTGCTTAGTTAATCTTAAGTTAATTTTAAGCCTGCCCATAATGCTCTGCATACAAGGGGCTTTGACATGTTACACTTAACCACTGTATTTCTTTGTACTTCTATGTATCATGTTCAAATTAATAAATAATAAAAAAATAAAACTCGCAATATCTGGTGAAATGATCTACCATAGCACACAGATGTTTGTTGCCCTGGAGGGAACATTGGAAATTAGTTAAGAGACCTAGCACAACTCTTTCCCATTGTTCGCTAGTAGTTGGATACACCTGGATTGGGTTAGGACCATTAACATTACCTTTATGTTGCATGCAGACACTTCATTTCTTAACATACTCAGAAATATCAGTTGCCATACGAGGCCAAAAGTATTTCAATCTGGCTTGCTTTACAGAACGATCCATACCAGGGTGTGCAACACCTGCTACATTATGAACTAGCTGTAAGGCTACATTCACTAGTGACTGTGGAATTACTAACTGGTATACCTTTCTGCTAGGAGTACCCAACTCGGCTGTACGATACAGTAATTCTTGATTCATGACAAAGTCACTGATGGTTGTTGGTGGCTTCACAGTCAGAATAAGATCTTCTTGGAGCAGGACTCGAATCACACCAGACCACATGGGATCTGTTCTTTGAGCATTCTTTACGTCCTCGGCAGTAAATGGAGAGTCTGCAGTTACTATACTAACATGTCGCGATAAAGCATCTGCGACTACATTTGACTTGCCAGGTAAGTGTTCAAAGGTAGGATTGAACTCTTGGATAGTCAAGATCCATCTGCCTAACCTTCCAGTAGGTTGTTTGTTCTGGAATAAAGGTATCAGTGGAGCATGGTCTGTCAAGACATGAACAGAGTACTGATAAATAATTTCTTTGAATAATGTCTTTGCTAAAGCTTCTTGCTCAGTTACTGTATAATTACGTTCAGCCTTCGTAAGGACTCGGCTAGCAAATGCAACTGCATTGTACTTGCCATCAGTCTTCTGAGCTAGTACGGCACCTATGCCAATTGAACTAGCATCAATTATCAGATAGAGGGGCTTAGAAAAATCTGGAAATTTCAAAACTGGAGCAGATGTTAGTTTTTCTTTTAGAGTTTGGAATGTTCTTTCTTGACGGAAGGTCCAAACGAAAGGAGCATCTTTCTTAAGCAACTCAGTTAGAGGAGCAGCTATGGAAGAAAAATTGGCAGTGAAGGATCAATAAAAACCTGCTAAGCCCACAAAGGATCTTACGGCATCAGCAGTTTTGAGAGACTAAAAATTTAGTACTGCAGTTACTTTACTTTGGTCAGTCGTAACCCCTCCAGGAGTGACTACGTGACCAAGAAACTTGATTTCTGATCTGAAAAACTGACATTTAGACAGTTTGATCTTTAAATTGGCTTCTTCAAGCTTACCAAATACTATATCAAGTCTTTTCAAGTGTGTATCCACGTCTTCAGTCATGATGATTACATCATCTAAGTACACCTTAAGTGCATTACCTATGAGACCACTAAAGATATTAGTCACTCAGCAATCAACATTTGCACCAATAACTCACTACAGTTGTGACCGGGTGTGGAAGTGTGAATTGCTCATTACTCTAAAATTTGTTCATGACTGCAGCCATGTATAAACGTAAGTAACCATTCTTACAGTATTCATTACCTTTGTAACTTGTGAGTTCATTACCTTTGTAACTTGTGAGTTCATTACCTTGTACCTAGTTCAGCCATCAAAACTTTGGAGCCCGGTCCCTGGACCCATTGTGTACCTCTGTAATCTGTAAATACCTTTGTAACTTGTAATGATTGTGACTAGACCTACCTGGAGTTCATTACCTTTGTAAATTGTGAGTTCATTACCTTTGTAAATTGTGAGTTCATTGCCTCTGTGGCTTGCTCAGCTATCAAAACTTTGAGGCCCAGTCCCTGGACCCATTATGTACCTCTGTAATCTTTTGACTACCGCCCACAGGATGGGTATGGGGTGCATAATAAACATATTAAACTAACTAACATGAGCCTTGAGAATGTGATAGGGGAAGATCATAACCCAAAGGCCATACGGGGGAAGTGATAATGACCTGTAGGAGTGGAGAATGTGGTTAGCTCTTGGCTGTCCTCATGAAGAGGGACATGCCAAAACCCTTGTAACAAGTCCAGGGTCGAAAAGACTGTTATCTCCGATGTTACGTTAAAGATTACCAAGTATAGGAAGTGGGAAGCGATCTGGAATAGTTTTCGCATTTAACTTCCTAAAGTCAATCACTGGGCACCAAGTACCATCCTTCTTAGGTACTAGGATCAAGGATGCATTCCAGGGTGAACTGCTAGGTGCAATAACTCCATCATCAAGCAACTGACTGATCAATTCTTCTGCAACAGCAACTTGTGAATGAGGCATTCTGTACGCAGGTATATAAATAGGTCTAGTACCAGGTTCAACTGGATACGATGGGACAATATGTTCATTATACCCATTAATAACAACACTGTGACTAGCCGAGGATTTGAACCCATGTCGTTTTGGCCAATGGAAATAAGTCACTCTGTCTGACTTTTTTGGGTTATCCTAGGTTCTCTACACATATGCTGCTATGTATGATAATTCTATGTAACTGTATTTGTGTATACCTGAATAAACTTACTTACTTACTAACCTTTCTTAGGCCTACCCCTACCTCACCTTCCCTCCACTACAGATTTATACACTCTCAAAGTCATTCTATTTTGTTCCATCTTCTCTACATATCTACACCATCTCAACAACCCTTCCTCAGCAGGGCCGGATTAAGAAGTCTCCGGGCCCTTGGCTTAAGCCAGAATCGTAAATTTTACCTATTCGGCTTTGTCAGTATTAGGAATGAGTTTATTATTAGTCGTCTATGTAGATATTTTCAGGAGCTCCTCATTAATTAACAGCGTCCCGTAGCTCGATCGCTAGCGCACTCAGCTCACACACAGAGGTTCGGGGTTCGAATCCCCGGCACGGCTGGATAACGTTAGGACGTGTTTCCATAACACACCTGCTGTCCATGTTCATCCATCAGGAGAATGGGTACCTGGGTGTTAGTGGAGTGGTGTGGGTCGCATCCTGGGACAAAACTGACCTAATTTGCCGGAAATGCTCTGCTTAACAATCGGTTTTGATATGTTAAAAGGTTTGATATGTTTAAAACGTATACGAGGATTTTTATTTAAGAAACGCTTCGCTCGTTTGGGGTGAAACGTCCTTCTTTATACATTTGCCGGTAATAGATATCCTGAACTACCCTCCTAAGAAAATACAGCAATCATAACCAATCCTCATATATGAAAATTCAGGCCATTTTACTTGGATGTTTTCTAATTCTGACAAGATTGATGTTAATAGAATACGGCTTCGGGGGAAGCCGATCACTTAGACACTGGGTGAAGTAGATTAATGAAACACTTACGCGTTTTTACTGTAGAAACACTTCACCAACCAGTGGCTTCAGTAGTCCAGTAAAGAGAGAAACGATGGAAGATGTGAAACAGTTTGAGGCAACCAGTCTCAAAGCCTAGAAATAATATATTCAATCCATCAATCTTTACTGGCAGAAAGATGATCTCCTCAAACTCCCACATCTTCCACCGTTTCTCTCTGTATTGGACTGACAAAGCCACTGGCTGGCGAAACGTTTCCAAACAAAGTGTCTCATTTATTTACGTGTCGGTTTTCCAGACCATTTATATAAAAATGCGCTACACGATTTTCTTGCTCTGCCGGGAACGTCCACCTTACATCCCGTTTATATTTAAAGGAGGGAACCCTTATTATCTGACTTCAAATTACTCGCTAGAGTTGAGCAACATTTCCTTACACAAATAACTCGCACATAAACAAACAAATTTTATTTCTTTGTGTAGTATACAAAATGTAGTTTACATGTAATAAAATATTGTTAAGAGCAAAGAAAGTTACTAGCATGCATGTGCATTTCGAGCAGAGAGGATAGAAGACAGACGATGAAGAATTAAGTAAGTTTATTCAGGTATACACAAATACAGTTATATAGAATATCATACATAGCAGCATATGTTTAGAGAACCTAAGATAACCCATAAAAGTCAGACAGAGTGACTTATTTCCATTGGGGTCCTCTAACTTATTTCCATTGGGAAGCATATGAAGACGTTTCGGTCCGACTTGGACCATAATCAATGGTCCAAGTCGGACCGAAACGTCATCATAAGCCTCTTTCTCCTATGTGCTGGTTATTTGTGTAATGTTCCAGTCATGGTATTGTGCCTCTTTGTTCTTCAAAGGTGGCCTGGTGGCTAAAGCTTACGCTTCACACAGAGGGTCCGAGTTCGATTCCCGGCGGGTGGAAACATTTCGACGCGTTTCCTTACACCTATTGTCCTGTTCACCTAGCAGCAAGTAGGTACCTGGGTATTAGTCGACTGGTGTGGGTCGCATCCTGGGGACAAGATTGAGAACCCCAATGGAAATAAGTTAGACAGTCCTCGATGACTCACTAACTTTCTTGGGTTAAAAATCCGAACGAAATCTTATCTTATCTTAAATTACCTTCCTTACACGGGGAGACAGCGCTCAATACGGCGTCACTTGCGGTCGCCCTTTAAACCCCCAACAAGAAGAGGAATAACTATAAGAACTGAAGTTCTTACGCTGTCAGTGGCCCTGATAAACCCAACAAAGAAAGAAAGAACTGAAGTTGTTACTCCACTGTGAAATGTTGTGGGTTTATCAACACGGTGGGAGACTACTGGGACAGATGCCTTTAACCAGGCTAGACAGAACTCTCGTTACTTCAATCAAGAGGTTTATTATTCCCTTGTTACCTTTCAAGCAATGAGATAGAAGACTATAAATTTCTTAGAGATAAAAAAAATAGGTAGCTTGATGGAATTTAAGGGTAATATTGAATTTTTGGGGCTCGGTTTTGAGTTTAGTGGTAACCTGTTAAGAAAAAATCTAAAATATGAAGTGGATTGTGCGATGGAGACAGTTATATTTTGTTCATCTCTTGATAAGCAAAAAAAAAAAAAAAAAAAAAAAAAAGTAGCCTAATCTAACCCAACCTAGATTTAAATAGAATTAAGTTTACAGAAGCTTTGCAACTAAATAAATATATAAAAATAAATATAAATCAATATGTAAGTAACTCATTATAATTTTTTTTTTCAACAAGTCGGCCGTCTCCCACCGAGGCAGGGTGACCCAAAAAAGAGAGAAAATCCCCAAAAAGAAAATACTTTCATCATCATTCAACACTTTCACCACACTCACACATTATCACTGTTTTTGCAGAGGTGCTCAGAATACAACAGTTTAGAAGCATATACGTATAAAGATACACAACATATCCCTCCAAACTGCCAATATCCCAAACCCCTACTTTAAAGTGCAGGCATTGTACTTCCCATTATAAATATATATATTATAAATATAAATATATTAATATAAATAAATATAAATATATTAATATAAATAAATATAAATATATAAATATAAATTATATAAATAAAAAATATATATAATATAAATATATATAAATATAAATATATATAAATTAAATATATATAAATATAAATATATTATAAATATAAATATATTATAAAAAATATTATAAAATATATTATAAATATATTTATAAATATATTATAATATATTATAAATATATGTATATATAATGTATATATATATGTATATATATATGTATTATATGTATATATTATATATGTATATATATATGTATATATTTATGTTTTATATATGTCGTGCCGAATAGGCAGAACTTGCGATCTTGGTTAAATAGCAACGCTTGTCTTGCCATTATAGGACAAGCGAAAATTTGTGTATGCAATAATTTCGCCAAAATCGTTCTGAACCTAACGAAAAAAATATATTTCACTGTGTTTGTTTAGTATTAAATTATTGTAAACAAATCTAAAATATATTTAGTTGGGTTAGGCTAAAATAAATTGTTCTTGTTATGATAAGGTTAGGTAAGTTTTCTAAGTTCCTTTTGGTGCAAAATTATTAATTTTTACATCAACATTAATGAAAAAAATATATCTTTAAACGTATAGGAGAAAATTTTAGAAAGGACTTAATTTTAAATGAGTTCTTGCTAATTGACCAGTTTTACATATTCGGCACGACATATATGTATATATATATGTATATATATATATGTATATATATATATGTATATATATATATGTATATATATATATGTATATATATATGTATATATATGTATGTATATATATATATGTATATATATAATGTATATATATGTATATATATATGTATATATATATATATATATATATATATATATATATATTATAATATATATATATATATATATATATATATATATATATATATATATATTTTTTTTTTTTTTTTTCAACAAGTCGGGCCGTCTCCACCGAGGCAGGGTGACCCAAAAAAGAAAGAAAATCCCCAAAAAGAAAATACTTTCATCATCATTCAACACTTTCACCACACTCGCACATTATCACTGTTTTTGCAGAGGTGCTCAGAATACAACAGTCTAGAAGCATAAACATATAAAGATACACAACATATCCCTCCAAACTGCCAATATCCCAAACCCCTCCTTTAAAGTGCAGGCATTGTACTTCCCATTTCCAGGACTCAAGTCCGACTATATGAAAATAACCGGTTTCCCTGAATCCCTTCACTAAATATTACCCTGCTCACACTCCAACAGATCGTCAGGTCCCAAGTACCATTCGTCTCCATTCACTCCTATCTAACACGCTCACGCACGCTTGCTGGAAGTCCAAGCCCCTTACCCACAAAACCTCCTTTAACCCCTCTCTCCAACCCTTTCGAGGACGACCCCTACCCCGCCTTCCTTCCCCTATAGATTTATATGCTTTCCATGTCATTCTACTGTGATCCATTCTCTCTAAATGACCAAACCACCTCAACAACCCTCTTCTGCCTCTGACTAATACTTTTATTAACTCCACACCTTCTCCTAATTTCCACACTCCGAATTTTCTGCATAATATTTACACCCACACATTGCCCTTAAACAGGACATCTCCGCTGCCTCCAACCGTCTCCTCGCTGCTGCATTTACCACCCAAGCTTCACACCCATATAAGAGTGTTGGTACTACTATACTTTCATACATTCCCTTCTTTGCCTCCATAGATAACGTTTTTTGACTCCACATATACCTCAACGCACCACTCACCTTTTTTCCCTCATCAATTCTATGATTAACCTCATCCTTCATAAATCCATCCGCCGACACGTCAACTCCCAAGTATCTGAAAACATTCACTTCTTCCATACTCCTCCTCCCCAATTTGATATCCAATTTTTCTTTATCTAAATCATTTGACACCCTCATCACCTTACTCTTTTCTATGTTCACTTTCAACTTTCTACCTTTACACACATTCCCAAACTCATCCACTAACCTTTGCAATTTTCTTTAGAATCTCCCATAAGCACAGTATCATCAGCAAAAAGTAACTGTGTCAATTCCCATTTTGAATTTGATTCCCCATAATTTAATCCCACCCCTCTCCCAAACACCCTAGCATTTACTTCCTTTACAACCCCATCTATAAATATATTAAACAACCATGGTGACATTACACATCCCTGTCTAAGACCTACTTTTAACCGGGAAGTAGTCTCCCTCTCTTCTACACACCCTAACCTGAGCCTCACTATCCTCATAAAAACTCTTTACAGCATTTAATAACTTACCACCTATTCCATATACTTGCAACATCTGCCACATTGCTCCTCTATCCACTCTATCATATGCCTTTTCTAAATCCATAAATGCAATAAAAACTTCCCTATCTTTATCTAAATACTGTTCACATATATGCTTCAATGTAAACACCTGATCTACACATCCCCTACCCACTCTAAAACCTCCTTGCTCATCCGCAATCCTACATTCTGTCTTACCTCTAATTCTTTCAATTATAACCCTACCGTACACTTTTCCTGGTATACTCAGTAAGCTTATTCCTCTATAATTTTTACAGTCTCTTTTGTCCCCTTCCCTTTATATAAAGGGACTATACATGCTCTCTGCCAATCCCTAGGTACCTTCCCCTCTTTCATACATTTATTAAACAAAAGTACCAACCACTCCAACACTATATCCCCCCCTGCTTTTAACATTTCTGTCATGATCCCACAGTTCCAGCTGCTTTACCCCTTTCATTTTACGTAATGCCTCACGTACCTCCCCCACACTTACATTCTGCTCTTCTTCACTCCTAAAAGATGGTATACCTCCCTGACCAGTGCATGAAATTACTGCCTCTGTTTCTTCCTTAACATTTAAAAGTTCCTCAAAATATTCTCGCCATCTACCAATACTCCATCTCCCCATCTACTAACTCCCCTACTCTGTTTTTAACTGACAAATCCATATTTTCCCTAGGCTTTCTTAACTTGTTTAACTCACTCCAAAATTTTTTCTTATTTTCATTAAAATTTCTTGACAGTGCCTCTCCCACTCTATCATCTGCTCTCCTTTTGCACTCTCTCACCACTCTCTTTACCTTCTTTTTACTCTCCATATACTCTGCTCTTCTTATAACACTTCTGCTTTGTAAAAACCTCTCATAAGCTACCTTTTTCTCTTTTATCACACCCTTTACTTCATCATTCCACCAATCACTCCTCTTTCCTCCTGCCCCACCCTCCTATAACCACAAACTTCTGCCCACATTCTAATACTGCATTTTTAAAACTATTCCAACCCTCTTCAACCCCCCCACTACTCATCTTTGCACTAGCCACCTTTCTGCAATAGTCGCTTATATCTCACCCGAACTTCCTCCTCCCTTAGTTTATACACTTTCACCTCCCTCTTACTTGTTGTTGCCACCTTCCTCTTTTCCCATCTACCTCTTACTCTAACTGTAGCTACAACTAAATAATGATCCGATATATCAGTTGCCCCTCTATAAACATGTACATCCTGGAGCCCTACCCATCAACCTTTTATCCACCAATACATAATCTAATAAACTACTTTCATTACGTGCTACATCATACCTTGTATATTTTATTTATCCTCTTTTTCATAAAATATGTATTACTTATTACCAAATTTCTTTCTACACATAGCTCAATTAAAGGCTCCCCATTTACATTTACCCCTGGCACCCCAAATTTACCTACTACTCCCTCCATAACATTTTTACCCACTTTAGCATTAAAATCCCCAACCACCATTACTCTCACACTTGATTCAAAACTCCCCACGCATTCACTCAACATTTCCCAAAATCTCTCCTCTCTCCTCTACACTTCTCTCTTCTCCAGGTGCATACACGCTTATTATAACCCACTTTTTCACATCCAATCTTTATTTTACTCCACATAATCCTTGAATTAATACATTTATAGTCTCTCTTTTCCTGCCATAGCTTATCCTTCAACATTATTGCTACTCCTTCTTTAGCTCTAACTCTATTTGAAACCCCTGACCTAATCCCATTTTATTCCTCTCCACTGAAACTCTCCCACCCCCTTCAGCTTTGTTTCACTTAAAGCCAGGACATCCAGCTTCTTCTCATTCATAACATCCACAATCATCTCTTTCTTATCATCTGCACAACATCCACGCACATTCAGACTTCCCACTTTGACAATTTTCTTCTTCTTATTCTTTTTAGTAATCTTTACAGGAAAAGGGGTTACTAGCCCATTGTTCCCGGCATTTTAGTTGACTTTTACAACACGCATGGCTTACGGAGGAAAGATTCTTATTCCACTTCCCCATGGATTAAAGGAAATTAATAAGACCAAGAACTATTAAGATAAAATCAAAGAAAACTCAGATGAGTGTGTATAAATAAATGTGTACATGTATGTGTAGTGTGACCTAAGTGTAAGTAGAAGTAGCAAGACATGCCTGTAATCTTGCATATTTATGAGACAGACAAAAGACATCAGCAATCCTACCATCATGTAAAACAATCACAGGCTTCGTTTTACACTCACTTGGCAGGACGGTAGTACCTCCCTGGGTGGTTGCTGTCTACCAACCTACTATATTTATATTTTGAATTGTGCAGGAGTATTTGATACAGAATATAACCTAGGAAAGTCAGTATGAAGTTATCTTCTAGACATTTACAAGTAGCATAACAATTAACTTTCTAATAGAATGAAGGAGAGTAAGACAGTTATATAAAATAATAATAAACCTGTAACAGAAAAAGGTATAAATGAATGAGGACTAGTATATAATACAGTTTGGTATGTAAGTAGTGTGCATATTAATTGGGACAGTGATGAAATAAGACATTTATTTGGAAAATTAATGTGTATTTGAAAAATATATGGCAATGATATGACAGGAAATTGATTTAATGTGAGGTATGACTACCCTTTGCTTTTATAAGTATTGCTACAAGCTTTGGCATAGAATTGAACAATGAACACATTTTGAAAAGTTTGTTGTGGTACTAGGTCCCAATAACAGCAGCAATTAGCTTTTCCACAGTTGAACAGTCCTGTTTTGCGATCCTGTGTTTGGTTATTGCTTATAGATTCTCAACTGGGTTGAGGTCAGGAGAATTTCCAGGCCAATTTAGAATGTCAGCATTTTTCTGGAAATGTGGCATGGAGCAAGATCCTGCTGAAAAATGCCTTCTCCATCAGGAAAGTCTCTATCCACAATGGGAAGCAAATGAGTTGCCAGGATTGCCTTGTATTTGTCACTGTTCATTGTTCCCTCAACAATAACATGCCATCCAGGGCCTTTAGCGGTAAAACTACTCTAAAACATCTTAGGATAGTATTTTGGCGCTTGTTGAATGTACCCATTCCGAAGAGGTTTGCCTTTGTTCTGTCTCACTACCGCTGATCTGTACCCATATATTTTAAAATGTGCCACATCTGAAAATATAACTTTTCTCCATTCACTTGTCATCCATCCCTTATAATCGAGTGCTCACCGCAGCCATTTTTTTCTTAGCAGCAGCCAATAATTGTTTCTTTAGCAGCTTTCTGGTAGTTCTGCCAACTTCAAAGAGCCTTCGTCGAGCAACTGAAGAATCAACATTTACGTCAGCTGAAGCTAAATCTCTCTGTAGATCTTTGTTGATTTTCTTGGGATCCTTCACACTATTTTTTATTATAACATTGTCAACATGAGGTGTTGTCTTGTGTTTTCTTCCACGTCTTCCTTGATGCAGCACTCCACAATCACCAGTGTCGTCAGCTCTTTTCAGAATCTGACCAGCAGTTGACTTTGCTAGGCTCAAATTATCGGCAGTCTGTCTGATGCTCAAATCAGCATGTTTTCTAAGAGCTATAATTCTTGCATGCTTCCTAGGTGTAACATCCATTATGAATTTCAATAGTAATCATGAATTGAAGGGGAGAATTTGGCAAAACCCACATTCACTCACACAGCATGCTTGCAGGAATAGCCTTACAGAACAATAGCTGTTGTAGCACTGATGAGAGTCGCAGGGTAACACCACAGCTGGATGATTACCAGACGTCGATAGCAAATTCTTCTGAAAAGAAAAGAATCCAAACTACACTAATTAAACCAGGGACTAAGACATATTATGAGATAATCACAAAATTTACTCCTGTCCCAATTAATATGCACACTACTGAATATTGTTAATTGCATATAAAGTTGAAAATATAATGGATATACATATACATATGTTCACAGATTATTTACATCAGTAAATCAAGTATCCAATAAAAGAGTTGACTGTCTTGAGAGGAGAATTATAGTTATGTTACGTCAGAGCCAGAGCTGCCTGTTTCTTCAAGGACCAAAACAAACTGCATATGGTTGTTACTTCTCAAGTGAGTCTGACCAAATGACACAAGCAGAAATTAAGAAAGCTATTGTAACTATATCCGAAAAGTTTGCAGAAGCTATGGAACTGATGAATGATGCAGTAAGTGTTGGTCATGTGCTGTAGTTCATTGATGATGCTATTTAAAATTTATGCTATAGAATATTATTACTATTAATTTTTTAAAAGTGATAAATTAAAGGGGCATATAACCAAAGTACACAGATAACCTGCATATAGGAGAGAGGAGTTTACAACGACATTTTGGTCTGACTTGGACCATTTACAAAGTCACACTAACAGGAGGGAGAGAAGGAGCCAGTATATATAGGCAAGCTAGCATGGATGGGACAAGAGAGGTGTGAGGAGTAGTGGTAGAGGTAAGGCAGATAGTGGAAGTAACAGTGGTAGAGGTAAGGCTTGTAGTGGAAGTAGAAGTGGTAGTGTGAAGTAGGGAGAAAAGTTAGTGGGACAAAAAATAGAGAAAAGGAGGCAAAATAGAAGGTAGGAGCCAAAGGTAGCAGGGAAGGAAGTAGTAGTAGTAGTAGTAGTGGAGTCAGTCAAAGGGCAGGAAAGAGAAGCACTGCAAGAGAGCTAAGACCCCACAAAAGGTTAAAACCAAAAACATGGGGTGATCCAAGTTGGACTGAAACATCATCGTAAGCTCCTCTCTCCTCTGTGGGGTTATTTGTGTATTGTTCCAGTCAAGGTGTTGTGCCTTTTTGTTCTTCATAAACAGGGTATATAATCTCCATGGGGAAGTGGAGAAGAATCCTTCCTCCATGAGCCATGCATGTCATAAGAGGCAACTAAAATGTTGGGAGCAAGGTGCTAGTAACCCCTTCTCCTGTACAAATTACTAAATGAAAAAAAGAAGAAAAACTTTACAAAAGCATTGGTGGGAGATGGCCATTTTGTTTAAAAAGATGCAAAGTAAAAGAGCAATTATAAAAAAAGTGAAAAGATACACATGTAAATAAAGTTGGTATGCTCACATATCAGCCAATCCTCCTAAGCAACAGTTGTAATTATGACTGTCTATAAACAGATTTGTCCCATTGAATTTTTAGCCATTTCTTCTAACAGCAAATTTCATATTTAGTTTGGGTTCAGTTAGTGTAATTATGTTAGATTACACTCTGGCAGTCATAATAAACTAGTTATAACATACCTGAAGGGTGGTAAATGAAACTGTAATGAATGTGAAAATTAACAAGATGAGAGGAACAGAAATCAGGGACCGACCAGGTTCTACTATCTTTTTATTTTCTTTGGCATTATAGTTTTTATTGACATTGCAGGTATGTTATAATAGGTTAATTTATATTATTAGACAACTGTGTAGCCTAACTAAACCTAACCATAACTAATGTAAAGAGTTATTTGATAAAAAATCCAACTGCTTATAAACAATCAGAATTCTGACTATTGGTTAGGGTGATAGGTTGTTCTTATACTGTAAATTAGGAAATCTTATGGAAAGGTGTTAGACTGTTAAAATGACCTTGCAGTCCTCAGAGTGGCATTAGGTACTCTTCTCTTTCATGAGATGACCATGAGCAAGTCTAGTGTGATCTAAAGAACAAAAAGGCACAATACCGTGACTGGAACAATACACAAATAACCCGAACATAGGAGAGAGAAGCTTAGGACCATTTCAGTCCGACTTGAATCATTTACAAAGTCATACCTTCCTTCTTTCTTCCTCTCTCTGTCCCCTTCCCTGTTCCCCTCTGCTGTATATACTGGCTCCCTCGCTGAAACGTCGTAAGAGCTTTGTAAATGGTCCAAGTCAAACCGAAATGTCATCGTAAGCTCCTCTCTTCTATGTGCATGTTATTTGTGCCTGGTGTAACCTAGGCGCAGTTGTAGAATAATTTTCTACCATTTACAATGATTAAGTGAAGATGACTAAAGCCCAAAATGTGATTATGGCAGGTGGTGTTATAAGCTTCTTCAGGGTAAAGAAAAAGAAAAGATGGTCATTACAGATTAATAATCAGCAGTGCATAGAAGGTCTTGTACATAGTTTTTTAAAGAAAATATTTTATAATTTATTTGTTTTATTGCTGTATCAAATGCAGAACTGTTAATCCTAACAATTTTCTATTTTCTTACACATTACAGAGAGCATCAGCAGGAACAGTTTACTTTTCACAAGACATGGAAGACACAAATGCTCAGGTGACAGAAACATTGGAAGATTATAGCACATTACTGGAAAAGTTAAATGAGAGCCAGAAAAGAGATGTTATTCAATCTATAGGTGAGATATTTTGAACTTCAAGTTTAGTGAAAGAAGAAGTTTAGAGATACAGTTGAGAATCCTTTATCCAAAATTCTTTGAATCAGAAGTGTTTCGGATTTTAGATTTTTTCGGATTTTGGAATATTTGTATATTTGCATCTATAAAATGAGACAGCTTAGGGAGGGGACCCAAGTCTAAATACAGTATTGTACTGCACAAAAAAAAAAAAAAAAAAAAAAAGTGATCACTGCTAACAAAAAGAAGATAAATGCAGAAACAATCTTGGCAAACATTGATGAATTTCTCTGCTGCTGTTATGATCAGCAGATGCTTTGTCATCACTAATCTTCAAATATTTAATGCTGTGCCTTTTCTTAAATTTTTGTAACCAGCTTGCTGAATATTCAAAGTTACCTTCAGTATTCAGTTCGTCCATTGAGTGGCATGTGCTCACTCCAACAGTGATGAATCCACTCCATCAGTACATGATCAAGATCTTCATTTTCCTCTCCATGCAGTATTTTTCTATTTTTTATTGACCTCTGTTCACCACTTTGAGCATAGAACTTCGCGTCGCTATTGGGCCGTGCGGACGTGCTGCGCAGTAGCTCCTGATTGAGTTGGCTTTTGCGCAGTGTTGACGTGTACTTGGCTCTGTGAAGACCTGTTTGCGCGCTCTCTAGAATTGAAGCAAGATGCCCTCCATCGAGCAACTTTACCAACAGCTTAAGGAAGAATTGAGGTTGGCGAATATGGAAATTCGGCGACTGACCGAGGAAAACAAAAAGATTCGGAGTAGTCCTCATGTTTTGAGTCCTCAGGTCAAGAAGGGAAACTGGTCAGTGGCTGGACAGCAGGGAAAGAAGTTGACGATCAAGAAGACGAATGGAAAGGTAGAAACGATGAAGAAGAAAGAGACTGCCGTGGAAACTGTTGTGGAAACATCCAATACATTCTCAGTGCTACCCGACGAATGTGAGTCGAATACTGGGAACGTCACGACGAAAGACATTAAGGAAGGTACGAATATTGTTGTTGTTGGGGATAGCCAAGTTAGGTATATGGATAGGGTGTTCTGCTTGAAGGACAGGAGTAGGAGACAGAGAGTTTGCTTTCCTGGGGCTGGGATGGAGGATATTGTTAGCCGTCTGGATGACATCATGAGAGGTAATGGGAGCAATCCTATTATCTGTCTAAGTGCTGGAGGCAACGATGTTGGCAGACGTAGGAGTGAGGACCTGATTAGCAGGTATAGGTCAGCAATAGAAATAATTAGAAGTAAGGGTGGGAAACCTGTCATATGTGGTATTTTGCCAAGGAGGGGAGTTGGAAGTGAACGGTTGTCCAGGGCAATTGGTGTCAATTGCTGGCTGGACAAATACTGTAAGGAAAATGCGGTAACATTCATTGACAACTGGGACCTCTTCTATGGCAGAAAAATGACATGTATGCTAGGGATGGGGTTCACTTATCTAGGTGTGGGGTGGGAGCACTGGCAACTGCAGTGGAGGGAGCAGTTAGGACTTTAAACTAGGAATAGTTAGTGGTATGGGTTTTGGCAGGAAAACAGTGAAGTTCCAGTGTAGTAATATTACGAGTTCTAGGGGAACTAGTAATAATAAGAACGAGATAGATATTGAAAAGCCAGGGACCTTGGGTGATAAGGACAGTAATAGGTTTAGTAGAAAAATAGAAGTGAGCAGGAAGGGTAAAGAGAAAGGAGAGTCTTTCAATGTTTATTATGCTAATTGCCGTAGTGCTAGGAATAAGATGGACGAGTTGAGATTAGTTGCAGTGTAGGTAACATTGATGTATTTGCCTTAACTGAGACGTGGTTTAATTCAAAAAGTCGGGACATGCCTGCGGAATGTCATATTCAGGGTTTTAAATTGTTCCAAGAAGATAGAAGTATTGGTGAGGGGGGGTGGGGTGGCATTGTATGTCCGAGATCACTTGAACTGTTGCATAAAAACGGGTATTAAGTCTGAAGTAACACATACAGAGTCTGTTTGGATTAGAATTTTCAGAGGGGCATGAAAAACTGATTTTAGGAGTGATATACCGTCCCCCAAACTTAGATAGGGACCAAGGGAAACTACTATGGAAGGAAATTGTTAAGGCCACAAGGCACGATAATGTAGTAATTCTAGGAGACTTTAACTTTAGTCATGTTGATTGGAATTTCTTGACTGGGAATTTAGAATCATACGACTTCTTAGAAGTATTTCAGGATTGTTTTTTGAAGCAGTTTGTGACAGAACCTACAAGGGAAATAACCTGCTTGACTTAGTTATGGCAAACAATGAATCCCTTGTTAATAATTTAGAAATTTCAGAGGACTGGGTGCTAGCGACCACAAATCAATTACATTTAGCATGAATGGAAGTACGATAGTAGCGATAACTCAGTAACAGTCCAGATTTTCGCTTAGCAGATTACGATGGGCTTAGAGAACACTTATCATCTGTTGACTGGGGTAACGAAGAGAGCTATCAATATGACAGTTTTCTGAACACTATACATGCTGCTCAAAGAGCGTTTATCCCATATAAAGAAATTAGATCAAATTAGAAATGACCCAAAATGGATGAATAATAGGCTCAAATATCTACTAGGCATAAGAAAGGAATTTATAGGCGTATCAAAGAGGTGAGGGTCATCTTATGAATCAGTATATTGACATTAAGAGGGACATTAAAAAGGGGATAAGAAAAGCTAAAAGGGACTATGAATTAAAGTTGCTAGGGATTCTAAAACTAACCCAAAAAGTTTTTCCAGATCTATAGAACAAAAGTTAGAGATAAGATAGGTCCCCTTAAAAATAACTATGGGCACCTTACTGACAAAGAGAATGAAATGTGCTTGATTTTAAATAATTATTTTCTCTCAGTTTTTACACAGGAAGACACTAACATATATTCCAGTAATTAATTTTTACAGTGGGCTAGAAGAAGATAAATTATGTAACATCACAGTCATTAGTGAGATGGTTGTGAAGCAGATAGACAGACTGAAGCAAAATAAGTTCGCCGGGTCCTGATGAGGTTTTTTCAAGGGTTCTTAAGGAATGCAAAATGGAACTCTGTGAACCATTAACTAATATTTTTAATTTATCTCTTCAACAGGTGTAGTGTCTGATATGTGGAAGATGGCTAATGTAACTCCTATTTTTAAAACAGGGGAACAAGTCGTTACCGTCAAATTACCGCCCAATAAGCCTGACCTCAATTGTAGGCAAATTACTAGAGTCAGTTATAGCTGAGATTATAAGAAGCCATCTCGATAAGCATAGCTTGATTAATGATACTCATGCATGGATTCACAAGAGGCCGGTCTTGTCTAACTAATTTATTAACTTTCTTCAGTAAAGCTTTTGAGGCTGTTGACCACAATAAAGAATTTGATATTATTACTTAGATTTTAGTAAGGCTTTTGATAGAGTTCCGCACCATAGACTGTTAAAGAAAGTGGCAGCTCATGGCATTGGGGGAAAAGTGCTCTCGTGGATCGAGTCATGGCTCACTGACAGGAAGCAGAAGTGTCCATAATGGGGTTAAATCCGAGTGGGGATCTGTAACAAGTGGCGTTCCACAGGGATCAGTCTTGGGCCCGTTGTTGTTTATAATATATATCAATGATCTTGATGAGGGAATTACTAGTGATATGGCAATTTCGCCGATGACACAAAGATAGGTAGGATAATTGATTCAAACGTAGATGTTATGGAACTTCAGGAGGATTTAAACAAACTCTATTCTTGGTCAGAAAAGTGGCAGATGCAGTTCAATGTAGATAAATGCAAAGGTTCTGAAGCTTGGGAGTGCCCATAACCCTAGTACTTATAAGTTAAATGATGTAGAACTTAGCCATACAGATTGCGAAAGGACTTGGGGGTTATGGTGACAGCAACCTTAAACCAAGATAGCAATGCCTAAGCGTACGTAATAAGGCAAATAGATTACTGGGATTTATATCAAGAAGTGTAAGCAACAGAAGTCCAGAGGTCATACTGCAGCTTTATACATCATTAGTAAGGCCTCACCTAGATTATGCAGCTCAGTTCTGGTCTCCGTATTACAAAATGGACATAAATTCGTTAGAAAACATTCAGCGTAGGATGACTAAATTAATACATAGCATTAGAAATCTTCCTTATGAAGAAAGATTGAAGACTCTTAAGTTACATTCACTTGTTAGACGAAGAATGAGGGGAGACCTGATCGAAGTGTATAAGTGGAAGATAGGTATTAATAAAGGGGATATTAATAAGGTCTTGAGGATGTCTCTCCAGAGAAAACCCGCAGTAATGGATTTAAATTAGATAAGTTTAGATTTAGAAAGGACATAGGAAAGTATTGGTTTGGAAATAGGGTAGTTGATGAGTGGAACAGTCTACCTAGTTGGGTTATTGAGGCTGGGACTTTGGGTAGTTTCAAATCTAGGTTGGATAAGTACATGAGTGGGAGGGGTTGGATTTGAGTGGGACTTTCACATCAGAGCTTATTTCTTGGGTGGCATTGAAAATTGGGTTGGGCAAATGTTTTGTTAGTGGGATGAATTGTAAAGGACCTGCCTAGTATGGGCTAGCAGGCCTCCTGCAGTGTTCCTCCTTTCTTATGTTCTTTAACAGTTTGTCCTTCTGTTTCTTTAGGTGGTAGATAGTGGTTGTTCCAATGCCAAACTCCTCAGTCAGACACTTCACATGTACACCACTGTCAACTTTCTCCAACAACTTGACTTTCTGTGATACACATAAACATAAATACTTCCTCTTTTTCTTTTCACTGTTACTCATATGCCTTTTTGACATTTTCAACAATATCATCACACCAAAGAGCACAAAATATACAGTAATCAGTGAGTAAATGCTGCTGACAACAAACTGATGCTACCTAGTACAAATATAAAGCTCTTCTGCCTTGGCTCAAAAGATGGAGAATCGAGCCTCCACTATGTTTTGCGCTGAATGATCTATTTGTGGTGCATCATGTCAACATTCCAAAACCTTTTGGATTTTGGAATTTCAGATAAAGGATTCTGTACTGTATTTGTATCTTACTAATGGAGCCCATGTTACAGAATTATGAATATTATATGTAGAGGAAAGCACTAAATCCATAAGGATCATGGAACCTCCCTTGAGGGGCCATGTTCTTGCCGGTCTTATTTCTGTAATATGACCCCTCAAAGGAGGGTCCACGATGCTGGTGAAAGGCTCTTAGTCCAAGGAATTGAACTTTTCCTCCCCTTGCATTGAACTTAACTGCACCCCCATTCTTAAGAATTATATGACCCTTATGGATTTAGTGCTTTCCTCCATATATAATACATATTAATAATTCTGTAACATGGACTCCATTAATGAGACAAAGATAAAGGTTTATTTCTTTGTAAAGTTTACATTGCATAATTACAGTTTTGGTTTGCTAAGTACAAAGAAAGCCACTATCATGCCAAGGCATTTCGGGCAGACTAATCCTAATACTACATAGAAACTACTTAAAACTAGACAGATAATAGTACATAGTAACTACTTAAAACTAGACAAGATAATAGTGGTTAACCGTATTACAACTTTATTTAATCTTAATACTAATGTGAGGTAGTCAGGGTGGTGGTTTTTAAGAATAATAATCCTGAAGCTGCACATAAAAACAATATTACAAATAATGTCAATGCACATAAAAGGCCCTAAAATCTGGAATTCATTACCTGTTAATATAAAAGAAACACTACCTGTTTATAAATTCAAGTCTCTTCTCAAAGATCACTTACTCACCCAAAACCAAATAAATACTGAATAACTGAACCTTATAAATTGTATATCTTAAATGTTTCTCACAATTATATCACATAAATGTTAAACCTAAAACCCAATCTAACTTTATTATTTTTTAAATTCACTACCTAACAGAATACTCCATTCTACTGAATTTACAACAATGCATGCAACCATATGACCTGTCTTTGTAATACTCACTTGTGCTTTATAGTAATCAGTTTACATTAATGTTTTTCACTGATTTCATCATTGCTTAGTTAATCTTAAGTTAATTTTAAGCCAGCCCGTAATGCTATGCATAGTATAAGTGGCTTTGGCATGCTGCTCTTATCTGTATTTTTTTTTTTTTTTTTTTTTTTTGTACCTCTGTAAGTGTGCTCAAATTATAAATAAATATAAATAAATAGTTCAGGCAGTAATATTTCATGGACTGGCAGAAGTTTAAAAGTCTAGAGGTCACATAATAAAATGAGATACAAATACAGTACAGAATCCTTTATCCGAAATTTCAAAATTTGAAAACCTTCAGTATCTGAAAAACTTTCAAATTCAAAAGATTTTCAAATGTTGATGATGTGCCACAAATGTATTATTCAGGGCAAAACATAGTGGAGGCTTGATCCTCCATCTGTTGAGCCAAGACCTAAGAGCTTTATATTTGTACTAGTGTCAGTTTGTTGTCAGGAGCATTTACTCACTGATTACTGCATGTTTTGTGCTCTGTGGTGTGTAGATATTATTGAAAAGCCTTGTAGGAGAAACATTAAACATGTAAAGGTCATACAGTACCTGGGGAATAGAAGGTGGTTTGAGTATGATCTTAGGATGGAAAAGTCATGTCCATTTCCTTAGATCGAGAGCCCCTTGCCAACATCTATAGGTTTAGCGTATAATGTTATTAATAGCACTAGCATCCAGGAACTTCCCAAGAGGGGTCTGTTATGGCTTACTGCTTACTGTCTTTCTAGCATTCAAGATAATTACTGTAATTGTTATACATGCTTCAGGGGTTGATTTTATTAAATTTTTTTTCTGTTACTCTTTTTTGTGACAAGTTCTACAAAAATTTTTAGGCAGTCTTTGGCAAGCTTTAATTTTCTTAGCCACCAATAAAAACTTATTTTTTGAGTCCTTTCACTCATCTTAAATGACTTCTTTGAAATATGGTAAACAAAAACATTTTAACACAGTTTCTATAATGTGATAAACATACAAAATGTATAAAAAAGGCTGTGAGAAAACAAATGAGTGATTTTATTAAAAATTACAAATAGAAGTCACATCAAATTACTGTACTGGTCAAGTGGTACTTTTACTTATTTCACTAGGAAGCACTAAACCTTTAGGGATCATACAGCACCTTTGGTAATACAGCTAGTATATACCTTTTCACAAATATTATGGATGGCTGGAATAGGCTTCATGAGGTAATATATATTAAACCACTGCAATCTCTTAAAATGTATATGGCAAATTAAGTAATGAAGACTGGAAAAAACGCACACTCATGCATTCAAAATGAAGCATTTTGTATGTTTTTAAAGCTCTAAAAAATTTTTGAGAAAATAATGTACTGTTACATGATACTGTATTATCAGATCATTTCTTATTGCCATATATGGTTACAACTTTTATTTATTTGTTTTTGCTTTAGGCCTCAAGATGGACGAGCTGAAAGCCCAGATGTCCCTGTTGAAAGATCTAGTAAGGAGTGAAAAACCATTTATGTAAGGTACGATGCATAAGTTTCAGTGATAAAATATGTGCAGTCAGTATTAAAGATTTATAAGAGTATAATATAATAATAAAGGTTTTATACTGTTGGTTTCTGAAAGGAACTAAATATCCATTCAACATTATCACAGTTTTTTGCAATTGTAGCAGTCTTGGTACCAAAGTGCTATAATAATTTAATGTTTTCATGAGGTGCATGTGGGTTAGAAATGTTCGATTTTACCGATGTTCAAGAGTAAACAAATCACATCATGCATCCAGTACATGTTAACTGGTGGGTCTAATATGCTTTCACAAATGCGCTGATATTATTTATACCACTTTTACAATATACAGTAGTCTGCATAACAGTAAATCTTCTATTTTTTGTGTGAATAAAAATTCAAAATGTCAAGCAAGCATAATATTAGAGGGGCCTGGAGACGTGAATAATGAACAGAGAAAATATTATTTTAGTGCTAGGAATGTTTGTATTGTTAATTCTGGACCCTATTTTGAAATTGGCCTTACTTGAATTGTGTATGAAGCCAAATTACCAATTTCTGATCACTTTATTGGGTAGTTGAAATTGGTAAATGGGTGGTTTCTTGTACTTAATCGATAGAAATGAAGTTCTAGTGAAATAGCTATGAGTTTGGTCAACTGGAACAGTGGAATTGGTTGAAAATAGGGTTCAAAGTGGGCGAAATTGCTGATGCGTAAATATTGCCGAGACCTCTAACTTCGTGAGTGTAATTCCGTAAGTTTTCCATCAAATTTCCTACTTTTGGTGTCATTACCATCAAGAAAAGATTCTCTATAATTTCATAATTTTTTTTTTTTTGACAATGAGAGGAAGTGTGAGAGCAGTATTCTTGACAGTGAAAGGGTTAAACCAAAAACACGGTTGCATTTTTTCCTCATTATGCACCGAGTGCTCCAGGATTTTTTTTATATGGTGCACACCTACTGCTTCGACCCATTCTCTTATATCTAGGCTCAAATTTACTTCTCAGAGCTTATCTGAGCAAGCCAAGTTCATCATGTAGTACTATGGTATGGCCAGTGAGCTCAGAGGCGTAGTGCTACAGCACAGTCAGCAAAAGGATTAAGGCAAATGCCAGTTAAGTTTTCTTTATGAGCTGTAATGGCAAATTGATGTTACAACTCATAAAATGTAATTTATCGAATTATTTTCTATAATTGCAATTATGAAGGAAAATATTTTAAACATCAGTTTTTTCTTTAATTTCTTTATTTGTGTATTAAAGCTTTGTTGTGATTATTTACATTTTTGCAGCAAGGAAAAAAAAATTATGGCAACAGCCACATATGTCCTCATTCTTCCCTGTGGCACCACTGCATCATCTTGTCATCATGGTTATGTGCCATAGTATTTCATCCATCATCAGGAATAGTATTTTGTACTATCATTACTGTATAGTACAAAAAAAAAAGTGTGACCCATATGGACCTCTTTTGAACTGTTTAGCCATCCTGACAGGAGGCCTGATGAGTGATGACACCAAACCAAGTTAATGTTTATCGTTTATTAAAATACGTTTTTTGTTACACTGTATATAAATACACACAAAAACATGGACAACTTTAAAAAGTCGGCTTATTGCTAATTTCTTAACCCTTAATCCCATTCATTCAGTTATTTATGGCAGGAAACAGTTGGTCCCTTGTACTATAGTTTGTAATTGCAAACAAGTTGGTAAAAAGACATACTAGCAGCAACTGGTAACTTTATCGAGATGACAGAGCCTGACGTGAAAGCGAAATATCAGGTGAGACTAAAGCCTGCTATGCAGACAAAATGTCATCTTTTATAAAGCTTTCAACTGCTACTTAAAGATTTATCAACTACTACTGCTGCTTGCTAATATGCAATAAATACTGGCTAACACTTCACATAAAACTGATGCTTTTAATCAAAACTGCTATGCACTAAAATTTAATTATCTTTTGTACACAACTTAATTCACTGTGGTTGATAATTTAAAATTTTACCATTGTATATTTCATTTCCAATACTATCTTGCTAAATAAAAATATACTCTATAGCATTATTTCCTGCTTACAGCAGAGACAATGAAAATCACAAACAAATAATTTACTGTACTATAATTTATAGGAAGAGACTAATTTCCACTGCTATGGACTTAGAAATGTTGATATGAAGACACTGCTATCGATGTTGAGCGTTGCATGCCACCACTTGTCAGGAAAATAGACGATCTGCAAATATAAAAGCAAATATATCAATACACTTATAACTTGGCCTTATTTATATATTTCTCTAAGTCAACTTTTTTTTTTCTTTTTTTAACACACCACCTGTCTCCCACCAAGGTACAGTGAGCTGAAAAAGAAGCAACACTTTCACCATCATATTACTATGTGTGTTATATTATTTCAACAGTACCAGCAGCAAATGTGAAACTACCATACACATTTTGTCTTTAGTTAATTTTTGTTTAAACTGATAAGTAAAATCAGTTTCACAATATTACCAAATATTTTCATGTACTCTCTTTGTGGTGCCTTCTACTACTCAAACAGCATACCTCTCCAGGTTGAAGTGTACACTCATAAAGATTTGGATTATCTTTCACATCTGGGTAAACTTCCATTAACCACTGCAAAGTTGTGCAGTTTGGGTGAAATTTAGGTTCTACATCAGGTGGATACATAAACCACCGCTTTCGCCCCCATCTGAAAATAGTAGTATATATTAAATGTACAGTGTTTATCATTATGGTATGCCAGCCCTCTCTAAAACCAGGATCACCAAATAGATAGTCCTTTACACTTCAGGACAGTCTTCAACTATCTAATAAGTTATTAACACATGTTCTTCAGGGTTTCATGGGATAAATTTCTCCATGACTTGCAGATGGCTTCTTCCAGCCTTGGGAGTGGGAAGATATCCTTACCTTAGCATCTCTTTATCATAACCCAGAGCTCTCAATGGGGTTAAAATCAGGGGAATTTCCTGATCAGTCATCGAAAAAGGGGATACCTCACAGTTACAAAGCCACTGAAACCTTGTGGTGAGGCAAGGAGCACTATCTTGTGTATAAAATAATTGCACCACACTGTGTGAAAGATTCAGGCAAATAATAGTCGAAAAAATACCACTCGGTAAAACATTATTTACTTACTGTCCTGCTTTCAGAGAGTGAAGAGCCCCCCACACATACACATACATGTACAGTAATTGGTATGATTATTTTATGTAATTCAACTATAGGTTTACATATTCTGAACTGAAATTCATGACTCAATACTCACATGGTTTCAGCAAAACCTGGGCCATGGAAGTGGAAAGGAACACCAGTACCAGGTCCTCGAAATTTAGAAAAATGAGAGAAGATTTTATTAAAAAATAAAAAACATAAAAGGTAACTAAACCCTAATAATTGTAAATTATGTTTTTATAACTTCTCACATACAGGTACATATAATGGTACTGAAAAGTGAGGTAACCAGAATGATAAGACAAAAAACTAACCTGCTAGTCCAAAGCTATAAGCAGGCAAGTGATGAGGCAGACTATAAGGTGGGGGTTCGTATAACTCGAGAAGGTTTTGCCATTCTTCATGACTGTTGTCCCCAAAGAGGTAAAATGTTTCTGAAATTATTATTATTACAGTATACAGCTGTATAGCCCTTGTGGCTTAGCGCTTCTTTTTTGATTATAATAATAATAATAATAATTACAGTATACAGTATTCACATTTTTTTTTTCACCAAACCGGCCATATCCCACTGAGGCAGGGTGACCTAAAAAGAAAAACGAAAGTCTTTCGTTTTAAATTTAGCAATTTATACAGGAAAAGGGGTTACTAGCCCCTTGCTCCCGGCATTTTAGTCGTCTCTTACGACACGCATGGCTTACAAAGGAAGAATTCTGTTCCACTTCCCCAAGGAGATTAGAAAAAATAAACAAGAACTATTAAGAAAATAGAAGAAAACCCAGACAGGTATATATATACTGTATATATCTGTTGGAGTGTGAGCAGGGTAATATTTAGTGAAGGGATTCAGGGAAACCGGTTATTTTCTTATAGTCGGACTTGAGTCCTGGAAATGGGAAGTACAATGCCTGCACTTTAAAGGAGGGGTTTGGGATATTGGCAGTTTGGAGGGATATGTTGTGTATCTTTATATGTGTATGCTTCTAGACTGTTGTATTCTGAGCACCTCTGCAAAAACAGTGATAATGTGCGAGTGTGGTGAAAGTGTTGAATGATGATGAAAGTATTTTCTTTTTGGGGATTTTCTTTCTTTTTTTTGGGTCACCCTGCCTCGGTGGGAGACGGCCGACTTGTTGAAAAAATTATAAATATATTATATATATATATAATATATATATATTTATTTTATTTTTATTATCACCACGGCCGATTCCCACCAAGGCAGGGTGGCCCGAAAAAGAAAAACTTTCAAACCCTCATTCACTCCATCACTGTCTTGCCAGAAGGGTGCTTTACACTACAGTTTTTAAACTGCAACATTAACACCCCTCCTTCAGAGTGCAGCACTGTACTTCCCATCTCCAGGACTCAAGTCCGGCCTGCCGGTTTCCCTGAATCCCTTCATAAATGTTACTTTGCTCACACTCCAACAGCACGTCAAGTATTAAAAACCATTTGTCTCCATTCACTCCTATCAAACACGCTCCGCATGCCTGCTGGAAGTCCAAGCCCCTCGCACACAAAACCTCCTTTACCCCCTCCCTCCAACCCTTCCTAGGCCGACCCCTACCCCGCCTTCCTTCCACTACAGACTGATACACTCTTGAAGTCATTCTGTTTCGCTCCATTCTCTCTACATGTCCGAACCACCTCAACAACCCTTCCTCAGCCCTCTGGACAACAGTTTTGGTAATCCCGCACCTCCTCCTAACTTCCAAACTACGAATTCTCTGCATTATATTCACAGCACACATTGCCCTCAGACATGACATTCTCCACTGCCTCCAGCCTCCTCCTCGCTGCAACATTCATCACCCAAGCTTCACACCCATATAAGAGCGTTGGTAAAACTATACTCTCATACATTCCCCTCTTTGCCTCCAAGGACAAAGTTCTTTGTCTCCACAGACTCCTAAGTGCACCACTCACTCTTTTTCCCTCATCAATTCTATGATTCACCTCATCTTTCATAGACCCATCGCTGACACGTCCACTCCCAAATATCTGAATACGTTCACCTCCTCCATACTCTCTCCCTCCAATCTGATATTCAATCTTTCATCACCTAATCTTTTTGTTATCCTCATAACCTTACTCTTTCCTGTATTCACCTTTAATTTTCTTCTTTTGCACACCCTACCAAATTCATCCACCAATCTCTGCAACTTCTCTTCAGAATCTCCCAAGAGCACAGTGTCATCGGCAAAGACTGATGACATATATACATGTATAGTCCCTTTATATAAATGGAAAGGGGACAAAAGAGACTGTAAAAATTATAGAGGAATAAGCTTACTGAGTATACCAGGAAAAGTGTACGGTAGGGTTATAATTGAAAGAATTAGAGGTAAGACAGAATGTAGGATTGCGGATGAGCAAGGAGGTTTCAGAGTGGGTAGGGGATGTGTAGATCAGGTGTTTACATTGAAGCATATATGTGAACAGTATTTAGATAAAGATAGGGAAGTTTTTATTGCATTTATGGATTTAGAAAAGGCATATGATAGAGTGGATAGAGGAGCAATGTGGCAGATGTTGCAAGTATATGGAATAGGTGGTAAGTTATTAAATGCTGTAAAGAGTTTTTATGAGGATAGTGAGGCTCAGGTTAGGGTGTGTAGAAGAGAGGGAGACTACTTCCCGGTAAAAGTAGGTCTTAGACAGGGATGTGTAATGTCACCATGGTTGTTTAATATATTTATAGATGGGGTTGTAAAGGAAGTAAATGCTAGGGTGTTCGGGAGAGGGATGGGATTAAATTTTGGGGAATCAAATTCAAAATGGGAATTGACACAGTTACTTTTTGCTGATGATACTGTGCTTATGGGAGATTCTAAAGAAAAATTGCAAAGGTTAGTGGATGAGTTTGGGAATGTGTGTAAAGGTAGAAAGTTGAAAGTGAACATAGAAAAGAGTAAGGTGATGAGGGTGTCAAATGATTTAGATAAAGAAAAATTGGATATCAAATTGGGGAGGAGGAGTATGGAAGAAGTGAATGTTTTCAGATACTTGGGAGTTGACGTGTCGGCGGATGGATTTATGAAGGATGAGGTTAATCATAGAATTGATGAGGGAAAAAAGGTGAGTGGTGCGTTGAGGTATATGTGGAGTCAAAAAACGTTATCTATGGGAGGAAAGAAGGGAATGTATGAAAGTATAGTAGTACCAACACTCTTATATGGATGTGAAGCTTGGGTGGTAAATGCAGCAGCGAGGAGACGGTTGGAGGCAGTGGAGATGTCCTGTCTAAGGGCAATGTGTGGTGTAAATATTATGCAGAAAATTCGGAGTGTGGAAATTAGGAGAAGGTGTGGAGTTAATAAAAGTATTAGTCAGAGGGCAGAAGAGGGGTTGTTGAGGTGGTTTGGTCATTTAGAGAGAATGGATCAAAGTAGAATGACATGGAAAGCATATAAATCTATAGGGGAAGGAAGGCGGGGTAGGGTCGTCCTCGAAAGGGTTGGAGAGAGGGGGTAAAGGAGGTTTTGTGGGTAAGGGCTTGGACTTCCAGCAAGCTGCATGAGCGTGTTAGATAGGAGTGAATGGAGACGAATGGTACTTGGGACCTGACGATCTGTTGGAGTGTGAGCAGGGTAATATTTAGTGAAGGGATTCAGGGAAACCGGTTATTTTCATATAGTCGGACTTGAGTCCTGGAAATGGGAAGTACAATGCCTGCACTTTAAAGGAGTGGTTTGGGATATTGGCAGTTTGGAGGGATATGTTGTGTATCTTTATATGTGTATGCTTCTAGACTGTTGTATTCTGAGCACCTCTGCAAAAACAGTGATAATGTGCGAGTGTGGTGAAAGTGTTGAATGATGATGAAAGTATTTTCTTTTTGGGGATTTTCTTTCTTTTTTGGGTCACCCTGCCTCGGTGGGAGACGACCGACTTGTTGAAAAAAAAAAAAAAAAAGTTATTTATTCTCCATGTGGGAAGTGGAACAGAATTCTTCCTCCGTAAGCCATGCGTGTTGTAAGAGGCGACTAAAATACCGGAAGCAAGGGGCTAGTAACCCCTTCTCCTGTATAAATTAATAAATTTAAAAAGAGAAACTTTCGTTTTTCTTTTTGGGCCACCCTGCCTTGGTGGGATACGGCCGGTTTGTTGGAAAAAAAAAATATATATACATATATACAGTGGTCCCCCGCTTTTCGTAGTTCCCGGCAATCGTAAAATTCGCCAATCATAGGGGTATTTTCGTATAAACATGGACTCGCTTTTCATAGGTTGACTCGCGAGTCGTAGTTCGTCCGGGACGTGTACCCACGGCGTGAGCCAGGGCAGCAGCCAGTCTGGCATTGTTTACCAGTGAGCGAAGGTCCCCTCACGTGCTCCAGCAAAATATTTCATAATATTCCATTTATTTTAGTGCTTGCAAGTACTAAATAAGCTACCATGGCTCCAAAGAAAGCTCCTAGTGCCAAGCCTGTGGTAAAGAAGGTGAGAAATACGATTGAATTTAAGAAAACCATCATCGAACAATATGAAAGTGGTACAAGTGTGGCCGAACTGTCCAGGATGTATAAGAAACCCTACACAACCTTATGTTCCATAGTGGCCAAGAAAAATGAAATAAAGGATGCTGTTGTTGCAAAGGGAGTAACTATGCTGACAAAAATGAGATCACCAGTACTTGAAGAGGTTGAGAAGTTATTATTGGTGTGGATAAATGAGAAACAATTAGCAGGAGATACTCTTATAACTTTGTTTATTTGTGAAAAGGCTAGGCAGTTGCATGAAGATTTGGTAAAGAAACTGCCTGCAAATAGCGGTGAAGTGAGTGAATTTAAGGCCAGCAAAGGCTGGTTTGAGAGATTTAAGAACCGTACTGGCATACACAGTGTGGTAAGGCATGGTGAGGCTGCCAGTTCGGACCACAAGGCGGCTGAAAAATATGTGCATGAATTCCAGGAGTACATAGAGGCTGAAGGACTGAAACCTGAACAAGTGTTCAATTGTGACGAAACAGGCCTCTTTTGGAAGAAAATGCCAAAGAGGACCTTCATTACACAAGAGGAAAAGGCAATGCCAGGACACAAGCCTATGAAAGACAGGCTGATGCTAATGTTCTGTGCTAATGCTAGTGGGGATTTCAAAGTGAAGCCATTACTAGTGTACCATTCTGAAAATCCCAGAGTGTTCAGGAAAAACAATGTTATGAAGAGTAAATTGTGTGTGTTTTGGAAATCTAATAGTAAGGCATGGGTCACGAGGGAAATTTCTTAAATTTTCTTTGAGCAACCAGAACTCTATTACTTCTCAGATATTTCTGTCTTGATCTTCTATCACTTGATACCTAGTTGTATGGCTGTCTTAGGTCCTCTTTTTGTTACAGTCTCCAATACAGAGTCAATATGTCCTTTGCAGGACTGTTCTTGTGTATTAGTAAGGAAATATAAAACATGAATAACAAACAGTTATTTCACTAATGTATCATCTCCAATGTTTGAATCAAGATCTTACTCTGGTTAACATAATACAAGCTTCTAAACATTCCTATTATCAATGTTCTAAAAACTGTCCTTAATCAAAGATATATGATAGGAACTGGGGTCAAAATGCATACAAGAGATAAAATAAAAATGAACATTTAGTTTCTTTATCAGATGCATTTAGTTTCTTTAAAATTTTAACTAGAAACAAAGCTAAAGTAAAAGCCACATAAATTAACTTCTCAAGGACAAGTGAAAGCAAATTCACTGATAAAAGCTATATGCTGATTGTTCATATACATTTCCAACAAACATCTCAAAAGGCAAGGGACTTTCTCAACTACTATATTGTCTCACCATTGCCGAGAGCAGAAAGTTGCTGAGGATGAATATGATGATTGCAGTAGTCTTTGAATGACATGTCTTTCTTTGCATAACTGTAGCTGTTAGCTGAGCTCAGGCGTACTGTCATGTGCCCATAATTGTTTAATAGGACTGAGCGCCGTGTGCGTGATTTAAACAGCTGTAAAGTCCAATAAAAAATGAAATTTAAAATGAGGCTACAGTATAGTTCTGTGTTAATTTAATTATCTAGCAATAAAAGACATTTGTTTATCATGAAATTTTTATACATTACTGCCAAAATAAAATTAGAAAGGGTAGTATGATACTTTGGAATGCTTAAATCAATTTTGTCAAGATTATAAAATCAAGCACTTTATAAATAGTACAGTACATTACTCTATAATGCAGCAAAATAAAGTAAGTACATGTGAAAGACTCAGGTATTTTTATTGTCGAAGTGCTACACCTGTAAAGCAGGCCTCATCAGTCAAATACAGGCAATTATAACAGTGGAAACAGTAGAAGTAGCAAGGTAATTTTGAGATAGTAAGTTCATTAGCCTAAAGCATAGTCATGAGGTTTGAGACTTACATGTTTATATACTTTTTCAACTGAAGAAACCTGCTGGAAAGGCAAAAATGTTTCAATAATAAAGTTACCCAAGTGTTGCACATGGGTCTTACTCATCAAGTTGTCAGTATTGTATACCATTTATATGATAATAAAAAATTAAAACTGGCAAAAGCAGTACACTAGTATAATTTATACTTTGACAGGTCTCACCTGGTTATGTGATGCTCCCTTGATCACCACAGGCTTACTGTATGCATACCTTGATATGAAAAAAAGACACTTTATATGGATTACAGGTAATGTACTTGATTCTTTCTTTGAGTTAACTGACATCTCATAAAGCAAAACAAAGAAGTTTAGCTTCATTATCAGTATCTAAATCTCAATGTCATTACAAACAAGCAAGCAAGCAAGCAAGCAAGCAAGCAAGCAAGCAAGCACACAAAGTCATTGATCAACTGAATGACTTAAAAGAGGAAGTTTTAAGTACTACAACCAGTGGAAATTTAAAATAGATATTCGTATGATGAACAAATTACTGAAGATGGGACACCATGGGCATAGCTTTACTGTAGCTACAAATAGGTAATTACAGTAATTCTTTTCTGAAGAAAGCAGAGTGGGAAATAAAGTGACACTGAGCAAGAAATTGAAAGAAAAAACCCTATGTCATAGGAAGGGGGCTATAAGGAGAAAGTGCAAATTTATTATTACATTCATGGGATAGCACTACACCTGTTGGGGTCATACAGCATCTGGAGAAATGGGAGGCATTCAGATTTGGTCCAAGGAAGGAAGGGGAAGATGCATTACTTAGATCAAGACCCTTTCACCAGCATCAAGGATCCTCACTCGAGGAGAGGAAGTGTGAAAACATAACAGCAGATTCATAAAAGATGTTATGTTTTAAATGCAACTGAACAAAGCCATCTCTGTGTAAGTAACAGCGCACTGCACTATTGTATTGTTGTTTTCATGAAACACCAAGAATACTCAAATATTAATGTATAATAATGTTAATTTTTTTTTTCAACAACTTTAAGAATTACCAAATAAATACTATACAGTAGAACCCTGACAATGTTCCAACTTATGATATGCCACATTAATTACTAATAGACATACAACTGGCTCTTTCTATGGCAGGACTATTATATTCGATTTATGATTTTCTTAAGGATGAATTATAAATACTTTTTTCTTGTTTAGATTTTTACCAAACACATTATGCAGGTATAAAGAATTGACATTGGTTTGGTAGAGACTGGTTAAAAACTAGGGATTTAATATTTAGAACTTTTTTTTTAAAAATGAATTATAAATACAGTACTGCATTTTTCCCCTGCATTAGTTTTTTATGAAATGCATTCATACTTTGTATATGTTCATTTGATGGATGTACAGAATGCTCATATTTGTTTGGTATAAACCGGTTAAAAACTACAGATTTAATTACTTTCTGTGGTAACCGCCACTGCTATTGCCATGTGCTGAACATGTGAGTGGGTAAGGTGCGATATAGTGGTAGCCACAATTACTCTTACAACACCCTTTATCAAACCCTACTTACCCATTAACATTAACCCTCAGCATAACAATAAGGAAGTCATGAGCATATGTATAGGTAAAGTCTTGAGTTAGATAAGCTGTGAGAGAAGATGGAAGTGAATATGGGAGTGAGAGAGGGTAGCAGCTTTTTGTCTCCCCTTTCATGTCTGTTAGCTCCATTCCTCCCACCCCACATACTCAGTTTACAGAAGTGAGGAAGGGGTTAAAAGGCATTTTTGGTTAAAAAATTTTTGTTTTATTTTTTTTTAATTAAGGAATTTTTAAAAACCCTTTGTAAGTGAAAAGGAAAAAAAAAATTTTTAAAAAAATTTTTTTAAAAAAAAAATTTGGCCCCCCCAAAACCCGGGGGGCCCCCCCGGGGGAACCCCCAAACCCCCAAAAATTTTTTTTTTTCCCCCCCCTTTTTTTTTCCCCCCCCCCCCCCCCCCCCCCCCCAAAAAGTTTTTTTTTGCCCCCCCTTTCCCCCCCCAAAATTTTTTAAAAAAATTTTTTTAAAAATTTAAAAAAAACCCCCCCCGAAAAAAAGGGGGGGGGCCCCCCCCCCCCAAAAAAAAACCCCCCCCCCCCCCCAAAAAAAAAAAAATAATTTTTTTAAAAATTAAAAAAAAAAAAAAAAAAAAACCCCCCCCCCCAAAAAAAAAATTTTAAAAAAAAAAAAGGGGGGGGTTTTTTAAAAACCCCCCCGGGTTTTTTTTTTTTTTTTGGCCCTTTTCCCCTTTCCCCCCTTTTTTTTTTTTTTAATTTGGGGCCCCCGGGGTTTGGGGGTTTAAAATTCCCCAATTTTTTAACCCTTTTAAACCCCCCCCCCAAAAAAAAAAAACCCCCCCCCCAAAAAAACCCCCCGGGGGGGGAAAATTTAAAAATTAAAAACAGAAAACCCCCCCAAATTTTCCCCCCAAAAAAAAAAAAACCCAAAAATTTTTTTAATTTTTAAAAAAAGTTTTAAAAAATTTTTAAAATTTTTTTAAAAAATTTTTAAAACCCCCCCCCTCCCCCCCCCCCCCCAAAAACCCCCCCAACCCCAAACCCCCCCCAAATGGCCCCCCTTTTCCCCAAAAAACCCCCCCCCCCCCAATTTTCAAAAAAACCCCCCCCCCCCCCCCCCCCCCAAACCCCCCCAAAAATAAAAACAATCACCGGCCCAAACCCGGGGTTTTTTTTTAAAAAAACCCCAAAACCCCCCCTCCCCCCCCCCTTTAAAAAAACCCCCAAAAATTTTAAAAAAACCCCTTTTTTTAAAATTTTTTTTTTAAAAAAAGGCCAAAAACCCCCAAAAAAAAAAAAAACCCCCAAAAACCCCCAAAAAATTAAAAAAGGGGGGGGGTTTCCCCCAAAACCCCCCCGGGCCTTTTTTTAAAAAAGGGGGGATTTTTTTAAAAAAAAGGGGGTTTTTTGGGCCCCACCCGGGGGAAAAAAAAAAAACCCCCCCTTTTTTAAAACCGGGGTTTTTTTTGGGGGGTTTTTTTTTTCCCCAAAAACCCCCCAAAAAAAAAATTTCCTTTTTCCCCCCCGGGGGGGGGCCCCCCCCCCCCCCTCCTTAAATTTTTTTTTTCCCCCCGGGGGGGGTTTCCCTTTTTGGGGGGGTTTTTTTTTCCCCCAACCGGGGGCCCCCCCCCAAAAACCCCCTTTTCCCCCCCCCCTTTTGGGGGTGTTTCGGGTTTGGGGGGCCCTTGGGGAAAAAAAACCCCGGAAAATTTTTTTCCCTTTGGGGGAACTGCCCCCTGCCCCTCACCACTGCCTCAACCACTCCAGTCACACTCAATCTACAAGCACCAAATACAATGAATTATTGTGAAATGTTTGGAAGAGCACGGAGACTAATACTCACTCCAGCATAAACAAAGCCACACGGACCATGTGTCAACCACTTCCTCCACCACTGCTTCAGCCCTCATATTTTTGTACAATTTCCTTCTTCAACTCTATCGTATTTATTATTATTATTAGCAGTAGCACAAATGTTTGATTCTTTGCTGTGTTCAAGAGTAAACATATGATGTCACCTTCCAATACCTGTCCGAATAGCCATTCCAATATGCAGTCATAAATGGGTTGACATTACAGTGGACCCCCGCATAACGATATCAATCCGTTCCTGAGAGCTCGTTGTTATGCGAAATTATCGTTATGCGAATGAATTTTCCCCATAAGAAATAATGGAAATCAAATTAATCCGTGCAAGACACCCAAAAGTATGAAAAAAAAATTTTTACCACATGAAATATACATTTTCCTACACACAAAGAGAAGGATTCATGCACAATAGTAGAGTAGTACATGCACAATATATATTGTGCATGTACTACTCTACTAAATGAAGAATAAATGACACTTACCTTTATTGAAGATGCAGCAATGACTGATGAGACACTGTGTCCGGGAGTGCCTTTTCCTCCTGAGTACTGTAGTCCTGTTTGGCATTTTCTTCCAGAACAGGCCTTATCACACTGTGTATGCCACTATGATTCTTAAATCTCTCAAACCAACCTTTGCTGGCTTTAAATTCACCAATATGAGCACTAGTTCCAGCATTTTTCCCTGTTCACCGGGTGTTAGTCGACTGGTGTGGGTTGCATCCTGGGAGACAAGATTAAGGACCCCAATGGAAATAAGTTAGACAGTCTTCGATGACACTGACTTTTTTGGGTTATCCTGGGTGGCTAACCCTCTGGGGTTAATTGTTTCTTGGTATTCTCAATAAGCCACACCAACAACGGTGCTACAGCAGCAGCAGCAGCAGCAGCTGACAGTGCTACAGCAGCAGCTGACAGTGCTACAGCAGCTGACAGTGCTACAGCAGCAGCAGCTGACAGTGCTACAGCAGCAGCTGACAGTGCTACAGCAGCAGCTGACAGTGCTACAGCAGCAGCTGACAGTGCTACAGCAGCAGCAGACAGTGCTACAGCAGCAGCAGATGGTACTACAGCAGCAGCAGATGGTACTACAGCAGCAGCAGCAGCTGACGGTGGTACAGCAGCAGCAGCAGCTGATGGTGCTACAGCAGCAGCAGCAGCTGACAGTGCTACAGCAGCAGCTGACAGTGCTACAGCAGCAGCAGACGGTGCTACAGCAGCAGCAGACGGTACTACAGCAGCAGCTGATGGTGGTACAGCAGTAGCAGCAGCTGATGGTGCTACAGCAGCAGCAGCAGCTGACGGTGCTACAGCAGCAGCAGCAGCTGACAGTGCTACAGCAGCAGCAGACGGTGCTACAGCAGCAGCAGACGGTACTACAGCAGCAGCAACAGCAGGTGATGGTGGTACAGCAGCAGCAGCTGACGGTGCTACAGCAGCAGCAGCAGCAGCTGACAGTGCTACAGCAGCAGCAGCATCAGAAGTTGACCATGGTACCACAGTATTTCGATAATATTTCTCACCCTTTTTACCACAGGGTTGGCACTAGAAGCTTTCTTGGGGCCCATGGTCACTTATTTTGCAGATAAAATCACCAAAAACACTGTAATAATACGAAATGTTATGATTGTATGCTTGGATGTTACCGCGGAGGCTGGCTTGTAAACAATGCCACCGGCGGAACATGTGAGGCTGGCTCAGGCTGTACATTAGACGCGTCTCGGACGAATAGCGTTGAGCGGGTTTTTTAGCGGTATGCAAGGCAAAATCTTAGCGATAAAATGTATCGGTATGCGGATTTAACGTTATGTGATGCCAACGGTATGCGGGGGTCCACTGTATTTACACTGTAGTTTAATAGCAAATAATGAACAAACAAAACACTCACCACACAGTGGTGGGAGGGCTGGCTGCCAGTTGTGGGGGGTCGGAGGGAGGGTAGTAGGGACTCGCAGTGGTGGAGGCAGTGGTATTTAATAACATACATGTTGTTAAGGCATTTTTTTTTTTTTCAACAAGTTGGCCGACTCCCACCGAGGCAGGGTGACCCAAAAAAGAAAGAAAATCCCCAAAATGAAAATGTTTTCATCATCATTCAACACTTTCACCACATTCACACATAATCACTGTTTTTGCAGAGGTCCTCAGAATACAACAGTTTAGAAGCATATACGCATAAAGATACACAACATATCCCTCCAAACTGCCAATATCCCAAACCCCTCCTTTAAAGTGCAGGCATTGTACTTCCCATTTCCAGGACTCAAGTCCGACTATATGAAAATAGCCGGTTTCCCTGAATCCCTTCACTAAATATTACCCTGCTCACACTCCAACAGATCGTCAGGTCTCAAGTACCATTCGTCTCCATTCACTCCTATCTAACACGCTCACGCACGCTTGCTGGAAGTCCAAGCCCCTTGCCCACAAAACCTCCTTTACCCCCTCTCTCCAACCCTTTCGAGGACGACCCCTACCTCGCCTTCCTTCCCCTATAGATTTATATGCTTTCCATGTCATTCTACTTTGATCCATTCTCTCTAAATGACCAAACCACCTCAACAACCCCTCTTCTGCCCTCTGACTAATACTTTTATTAACTCCACACCTTTTCTTAATTTCCACACTCCGAATTTTCTGCATAATATTTACACCACACATTGCCCTTAGACAGGACATCTCCACTGCCTCCAACTGTCTCCTCGCTGCTGCATTTACCACCCAAGCTTCACACCCATATAAGAGTGTTGGTACTACCATACTTTCATACATTCCCTTCTTTGCCTCCATAGATAACGTTTTTTGACTCCACATATACCTCAATGCACCACTTACCTTTTTTCCCTCATCAATTCTATGATTAACCTCATCCTTCATAAATCCATCCGCCAACACGTCAACTCCCAAGTATCTGAAAACATTTACTTCTTCCATACTCCTCCTCCCCTATTTGATATCCAATTTTTCTTTATCTAAATCATTTGATACCCTCATCACCTTACTCTTTTCTATGTTCACTTTCAACTTTCTACCTTTACACACATAACGTATGTATTTAGTACAATTTACAACATTTTCATGTATTTTATTATTGTTCATGGTTCAACAAACATGGGGCACCAAACATTCATGGTTTTTCAACATTCGCGAGGCTCTTGATCCCCTAACCCTCGTGAATGTTGAGGGAGACCTGTAATTTATATACGGAATAATGACCTGGGAATGTCTCTCGAATAATAATATGGATTTTCTACTGTATTTACACATGCTGTACCCATATGTCTTAGTTATAATCTCAACCATAAACTATTTTTTTCATACTTTTTTTTTTATAATTTTCAATGTAAATCCCATCTAAAATACGTTTGTATTATTAATAATTATTTAAGCTTTTTTTTTTTTACAAATGTCATTACCCTATACTGTTACTGTATCTGTAATCATTGTTTATTTGTAAATTTACATGTAATTATTTTGTGAAAGAAGAATTACTAAATACAGTACAGATATGCTAGTTAAGGATTAATAAAGTATCAGTGACAACAGTATAAAGAAATACATATACCTGTGCATATACTCCTGTTATTCAATACAGTTTAGTAAAACAAATCTTCAAAGAAAAACTGTTTATATAATAAGATTACCTTAATTACCTTTCTAAAAATTCATCTTGTGTGAGAGATCCATCTTGCACCACAATGTTGCAGGGTCCTGGCTTGGCTACTCTGTCCCTATCTTTTGTCACCCTGAAATGTTATTTTTTTTAGTCTGTGCAGTGTCTTTATGATTCACAATTAACTCTAGGGTTTTACCAGTTGTAAAAATTCTGAAAAATTTTGTGTACATTCAGGATCATTTTTCAGGTTGACCACAACTGAACAATTGACCTGATGCAAGTGGAGTTATAGTTAGCTGTAATCTTTCAGTCAAGAATGAGCACTCCATGTTCTTGCTAACCACAAATAGAATAAAATCACCATAAAAAATACTGCAAAAAAAAAATCACAAATAAAGAGAAATAACAGAAGTAACATTTAAGTAAATAAAACTTAATACAGTGTCAGTGCTAAAAATAATATCTTGCACTAATAATCAATTTTCAGTTTATTTTAAGGTTGCAAACAAATGGCTTCAGGTTTGGTTGTGACATGAGGCTGTGTGCCCTTGAATATAAAGTGCACAGATATTCATGACTGTTTACCTATAAAATAACAACTGAACCTACTACATGCCTAGCTATTTGGTATAGTACTCTTAATATACATTTATTCATACATTTTTATTGCTTACTTTATTGACTATAGTGCTACTCAAATTTCTTTCTTCTTTGGTTCTTTATTTAGGAAAGCAATATAGTATAATGTAGAAAGATAATTATGTACATATAGCATATAGAGCTCATTATATCATATGACAACCCCACTGTAAATAAGTCACTGACTTTTTTAGGTTATCCTAGGAAATTTACGCATGTTAAATTATGTATGATAATTGTACTTATGTGTACCTGTACCTAAATAAACTTGCTTCTTACTTAACTCCATTTTGCATCTTGAGTGATTCAGGCCTCTAGCAGCAAGATATGCCATGTGTACCTTTTAAATTTGTAATTAAATATGCATTTATATAGGCTTATGTAACCAACCCAATTTAACTTAAAGAACATTTGCAAGTTAAGATATTACACAAATAACCTGCACATAGAAGAGAGGAGCTTACGACAATGTTTTGGTCCTACTTGGACCATTTACAAAGTTGTAAGCTCCTCTCTTCTATGTGCGGGCTATTTGTGTATTGTTCCAGTCATGGTATTGTGCCTTTTTTTTGCTAGTTAAGATACTATTTCGTTCAGATTTTTTAAACCTGGCTTTGTCACCCAGGATAACCCAAGAAAGGCAGTGTGTCATCGAGGGACTGTCTGTCTTATTTCCACTAGGGTCCTCAATCTTGTCTCCCAGAATGTGACCCCCACACCAGTCGATTAACACCCAGGTACCTACTTGCTAGGTGAACAGGACAAGTGTAAGGAAAAGTGCCCAATGTTTCCACCCTTGCCAGGAATCAAACCACGGACACAGCGTATGAAGTGAGCTTTGCCTACCAGGCCAAGGGCCACTTGTAAAGTTTAGATAATGATATTAAGAATCAAGAAAGATAATTAAAGTAGTAAAAGGAGGATAATTTGCACATGATCTAACATATTCACAATTAGATAAATCTTTAGAATGTTTTAGTCCTTCCTGGACCATTATCAAATCATGATAATGCTCCTGGATGGACCAGTTTCCAACTTAATAATAATAATAATAATAATAATAATAATAATAATAATAATAATAATAATAATAATAATAATAATAATAATAATAATAATATCCTTATTTACTACATGTACATGGTATACAGCTCTAGCTGACACCAATGACATACTACAACGAATATAGAAAGCCGCTTGTTATGCAGAGCATTTTGGGCAAATTAGGTCAGTTTTGTCCCAGGATGCGACCCACACCAGTTGACTAACGCCCAGGTATCCATTTTACTGATGGGTGAACATAGATAACTGGTGTAAAGAAACACGCCCAGTGTTTCTACCCTCACTGGGAATTGAGCCCAGACCCTCGCCGTGTGAAGCGAGAGCTTTAGCCATCAGGCCATGGGTTATTAAATGCTGCAGTCACTGTATTGTGACTTTCATTCTTTTTTGACTGACATAGTTCCAACATAAATACAGTAAACGAAGATAGTATACAATGATGGTTCTTAATTTCCTTACCGGTGGCCTGGTGGCTAAAGCTCCCGCTTCACACACGGAGGGCCCGGGTTCGATTCCCGGCGGGTGGAAACATTTCGACACGTTTCCTTACACCTGTTGTCCTGTTCACCTAGCAGCAAATAGGTACCTGGGTGTTAATCGACTGTTGTGGGTCGTATCCTGGGGGACAAGATTAAGGACCCCAATGGAAATAAGTTAGACAGTCCTGGATGACGCACTGACTTTCTTGGGTTATCCTGGGTGGCTAACCCTCCGGGGTTAAAAATCCGAACGAAATCTTATCTTAGCAGAACACATTATTTTATCATGTGGAGGTGTTAAATCCCAGGGGCTATACAGAGCCTGATGATGTTTTCGTTCAATTCATATTGTGCGCTAAACCCACTTGGGTTATTCAGGGCAAGACACAGACGTAATTATATCTGTTGTAAGGAAAGATATGGTAGCTCAAATTCTATGGAAGAACCCATCACCAACATCAAGGCGCCTACATTTAAAACTACATTATTTCACAACTGAAAGCATAGTTGAACTGTCCTTCCATTCGTACTTTAAAAATCTATTTACTAAATGCTTACGAATGAAAAACTTATCTGCCATTATAATGATTCACCTACGAGGAATTTCGTCACCTGCAATCCATTATAAAATATGCTCTTCACAAAATTTCAACAGGTATTTTGATATTAACGAGATCAAGGCCGCCCCATTCCCCTCTTATGGGGCTCTGAGCCCCCACAGTGAACCATTTTTAATCAGCACAAAAACATGTTTTTCCTCATGGTGGTGCCCCCTGGGGGTGTTAGTCCGTATTATCAACCCACACAGCCTGTTGTTCTCTTTTTGCTTTAAGGGTTCCACTGAAAAGCGTATGGAGCTCTTTCCGGTGTCAAACCCTAAAGGAAGGTTCCTTGATTTTGGTGAGGGGTTTGTTTAGGAAACGGGATCTGTGCCCCATTCCCCGAATTAAGCCTGAATGCCTTCCACATCCCCCCCGGGGGCGCTGTAAAATCCTCCGGGTTTTACGCTTCCCCTTGATTTAAAAATAAAATAAAAAAACCCGGGTGTCAAAATCGTTTTTAAATAAAAAAAAAAATTAAAATAATAGTAACAAAAATAATAAAAATTTATTAAGACATGATCAAGTTGTATAGATAGCCCTTTTAAGGGGCGTAAAGAACAGCAAAAAAAACTACAAACCAATAGCACTAAATCCTATCTAAAAATCTTTGAAAGGGTCCTAAGAAAAAGATCACACGCTCAGAAACCATCAGTTACACAACCCAGGGAAACAGGGGGTTTTTAGAACAGGTCGCTTGTCTGTCTCAACTTTTGGGGACCACTACGAAAAGGGCCTAAATGCACTAAAAGACAAAAAGAATGCAGATGTAATATATACAGACTTTGCAAAAGCCTTCGACGTGTGACCATGGGTAATAGGCAAAAATGCTCTAAAGGAATAACAGGGAAAAAACGGGCGATGGATCTATAATTTTTTCACTAACGAACACAGAGGTTTTCGTCAACAGAGTAAAAATCCCAGGCAGCTACGGTGAAAAGCTCTGTTCCACAAGGCACAGACTCGCTCCCTCTTGTTCCTCATCCTTATATCCCCACATGACAAAAGGGTGTCAGCCCCGCCCGTGTCTTTCCCTTTTCAGATGCACCGAAAACGCAGACAGGGCTTCCATTCGCACTGCAAAGTCCAGGCAGACTCAAACCAAAACTTTCAGTGGGCTCAGAAAAACATTTGAAATTCAACGATGAGAAATTTAATTACCAGATATGGTAAACATGGGAAATTTTAAAACTTCATCAGAGTACAAACAAATTCTTTTGGGCCCCAAAAAAGAGCGAAACACCAAAGTCAAAGACCCGGGAGGATCATGTGGAGGATCTCACCCTTCAAGGACCTTTAAAAAAATTGTAAAAATTTGCATCTGCTAGAAAAAAAAGACAGGATGGATAAAGAGAACCCTTTAAAACAGGGGGGCCAAGCCCCTGATGACACTCTTCGGTCACTTGTTCTATCTAGGGGGAAAAATTCTGCACCTAACAACCTTTCAGGCAGGTGAAATTCCCCCCACCTAGAAAAATTTCAGAGAATTTCACGGCGGCATAAAGGAGATAAAAAACCTCAATTATTGGGGGGCGCTTGAGGTTCCTAAACCCTTTTTCCCCCGGGGGGGGAGAATTATATACACCGGGAAAATTTCCCCAAGGGGACTAGTACCCAACTTGCACACGAAAAAACCCCACTCGAAAGCAAAAAACTTGGCAGACGATGCACATCCCCCAATGAAAAGCAGGGGGGTCATAGCATTAAAGACCTCAATAAGTGTCAGGGGCCCGAATTTTCAACTGCCTCCCAGCACACATAAGGGGGATTACCAACAGACCCCTGGCAGTCTTCAAGCTGGCACTGGACAAGCACCTAAAGTCAGTTCCGGATCAGCCGGGCTGTGGCTCGTATGTTGGTTTGCGTGCAGCCAGCAGCAACAGCCTGGTTGATCAGGCTCTGATCCACCAGGAGGCCTGGTCTCAGACCGGGCCGCGGGGGCGTTGACCCCCGGAACTCTCTCCAGGTAAACTCCAGGTATAAGTGGCTTTGGCATGCTGCTATTACCTATTACCTGAATTATAGTAGTTGGGTGTACATGCCAAAAGCCCCTTGTATGCAGAGCATTATGGACAGGCTAACTTAATACCTAGTTCTAAGCAGAAGAAAATAAAATAAACGTTCCTAAACAGGACAGACGGATCTCACCGATGAGGGGAAGTTCGGGTCTAAGTATTCGACTTCTTTATTTATGAACCGATTACATTCATTTTGGTGTACTATTAGAAGCTTATATCAAATATCCTGTGCTGAAGTTTCAATCATATCGGCCAAAAAGGAAATGAAATATGCAAAATTTACGAAAAATTACATTTGGCAGGGCAATGTTTCTCAGTGGTACTTGGAAAAGTGGTTTTGACACTTGCT